TCTCACTGGCTGGCGGCACTTCAGTCACCCACTGCCAACTGACTATTAGTCATGCAAACTCCATGTAAGTTACATGACTAAATGTCATGGACCATATCTATATTCTAGATATATATGGGTCCTAGAAAGCCCTGAAATCTAAAATATATTCTTGAGACATGGACCCTGAAATGTCACACAAAAATTATAATGTCTGTGTCACACCACCAAAATATATTTTGCAAGTGAAATGCAGTAAGGATATATTTTTGGTGAGTGGACCCTGAAATGTCACTGTCACACCTTAGAAATATATTTTTGCCCTGGCTTGGCCTTAGGATATATTTTGTGAAACAGATGTGGTAAGGATATATTTTTCTGGTCTGTAGGGGTGTCAGGGGTCCTAGTTTCAGCAAAAAACTTGTGATTTTTTTGCTGTCTGGGGTATATATTCTGGAACATTCTGCAATGATTGCTAGGGGTTTTGGCACTATGTCTGGCTTGTGCTCCCAGTATGTAGGTAGCAATAAGGGGCCTTAATAGCATCTGTAATCTACCACTTCCAACCACACCATAATTACAGTTTGCATTACAGATTCATTCATTCTCCTCTAACAAATTTGGGCATCAATGACATGTGTGATTCACCTTGAAGCTATTCAGTCCAAGATTCCTGAGTTGCTTAAGCATTATCCACTTTGACACTATGGATACAGTTCACACTATGGAATTTTTTAGCTGCTTAGAAATCCCCTTCACATCTGCCTCTACTTCAGCTCCGAGATCTCTAGTTGCATCTTATCTGCATACCCCACCAACATCTGTATTAGTCAAACCCCCACATGTGATATCAAACATCTCTCCCAATCCAGTTTCAAAAACCAGAGTTCTCTGTTGTTTCTCTCTTTCTCTGTCCAGTTGCACCTTATCTGCATACCCCACCAACATCTGTATTACTGTAGCATGACAGTTCGGTAAGGCTTCACTGTTGCACTTGGTACTTCCCTCTCCCCAAGATTCAACTCTCTTCCACTGTATTGCATTTCATTACATAAGCACTGTACATATACCTCATGTCGTACATGAGGCAGAATTCATCTTTCTTACCACCATAACCTCTGTATCACTTGATACTTAGCTCTACTAATGGTTAGATCCAGCTCTCAGAGATCAGTGGAGATTGAGAGACCTGTTTACGCAGCTAGAGCACTTTCCATTGGGACTGTCTGTGGAAATCGGGATACAAGTTCCGTGAACAGTCATGTTCTACAATCCCAGCACTTAGCTATGATTCTTGATCTCTATGAGGGTCTTCACACCTTCATTTGTGTATTCGTCAGACTCCCTACAGCTGTCCCACTACTTGTAGGACACTTATGCTCAGTAGTGTTCCACAATTACCATCCCCTGCCAGTCATACCCCTGCATGTGATATCAAACATCTCCCCACTTTCAAAAACCAGAGTTCCCAAAGTTCTTTGTTGTTTCTCTCTTTCTCTTCCTCTCTCCCTCTCCTCCTCTTCTCCTCTCCCTCCCTTCCTCTCTTTTTCTCTTGACTCATGATTGTAAATTTATGGACAACCAATTCCATTCTTCTCTAGCAACTTCTGTTCACCATGTCATAATATGGAGGCACACATATCTTTCCACTAAATCCTGGACCAAGATCTATTTCTCAACCATATCATGAATCTAGATACATAATTTTGAACTATATCATGAACATTTTAATTAGGTGCTGAAGCAAGATATATTTATCAACAATATCCTGAATTAACATACATCATCTTACAAGTATATCTTGAATTTTCCCACTACATTCTCAACCCAGATTTATTTTTTAAACTATATCCTGAACAAGGATATATCTTTCAACTATATCTTTCAACTATATCTTCAGCAATATTATATTCACAAGACATATATTTCAATTATATCCTGACCCAGGATATATATTCAACACAATATTGAGCCAGGATATATTACCAAGATATATTCTTAAGCTATATCTTGAACCAGGATATATCCTTCAACTTTATCTTGAACAAGAATATATCAGGATATATCACCAAGATATATTCTTAAGCTATATCTTGAACAAGGTTATATCTTTCACATTCTTAGACTATATCCTGAACCAGGGTATATTACTAGGATATATTACTAGGATATCTTTTATATCCTGATCTTGGTAGATGTAGATTTATCTATAGAGTCAGAAGAGAAAGGTGCATTTTATTTACTACAACTACATAGATTTACATTACTACATTAAACATTAAATAAAGGGAAGAGGGAGTGAGGGAGATGCAGTGAAGAAGAGGGGTGAGGGTGGTGGGCAATGAGAGAGAGGGAAATGGGGTGGTAAGCAATGAGAGAAGGGTGGTAGGCACTGAGGAAGGGGGTTGGTAGGCAATGAGGGAGGGGGGAAGGGGTGGTAGGCAGTGAAGGAGAGGGGTGGTAGGCAGTGAAGGAGAGGGGTAAGTGGGCAGTGAAGGAGAGGGGTAGTGGGCAGTGAGGGAGAGGGTGTGGTGGGCAGTGAGAGAGACAGTGTGAGGGTGGAGTACGGAACCTCGTCGCCGGGTGTGGGTGGTGGGCACTCATCGTCGTCGCCGTCCATCGTTTGTACCCCTCGTCGTCTGGTCGTTTGTCTGCCCTCTTCCTCGTTGTTGTCGTCGTGTGTATGCCCATGTCGTCTCGTCGTGTGTACACTCACGTCGTCGTCGTCGTCGTCGTGTGTATGCCCACGTTGTTGTCGTCGTCGTGTGTACGCCCACGTCGTCTCGTCGTTGTACGCCCACATTGTTGTCGTCGTCGTGTGTACGCCCACATCCTCGTCGTCGTCGTCTGTTCGCCGTCGTCCGTCTTTCGCCCTTTGGTGTCCTCGTCACACCGTTGATTGGCGTCTGCCTACTCGGCGTCGTTTCGCGTTGTGACGTGGCCGCTGACGTGTGGCATGAGGGAGGGGTGGGTTGTCGACGTAGGGTGTGCTACCCGTCAAGGGCTGGACGGTGGGGTGTTTTGTTAGTTATGTCAGAAAGGGGGCGGGGAGGGACTTACCGGGTTGCGTGACGTGGCAGGGTGCCAAAGGGTGTCGTGGTGACGTTGTGGAAGACGTGTCGTAGCAGGGTTCTTGTTAGTCAGTGGGTTGGGGACGGAGGGTGGAGGTGCTCGCAGTGATAATATGAACAGAATCGACGGACGACGAAATGTCGTCGTCCGTCGTTTGGTTGCCACGTCGCCGTTGGCGACGTGGCACCTGGTATTCTTGTCAGAAAACGAAGGGGGGGAGATGGGTACGCTCACCAAGTAGATGACGATGACGAACGGCGACATCTCGCCGTTCGTCATCTGGTTACATCTCCATCACCGTCGTTGTCGTCCATCGTCGTCATGTGGCGTCGTGGTGGTGTTGTGTCATGCTCGTGTTGCGTCATGTCGTTTCATGGTAGCGGCGTGTTCTTGCAACGCCCTTATTGCGGTGGTCATGGTTGTGAGCGACGAAGAGGCGGTGTGGCAATGGTGGCAATGTCGGCGTTGTCGATGGTGGTGATGGTAGTGAGTGTTGTTGATGGTGGGGCGGCGTGTTGGAGAAGTTATGTCACACTGTGACATTAGTGTCAACGTTCAACTGACGTCCAAATTTGTAGTGTCTCCCTTGTCTAATTAGAATTTTGTAGGTTGTAAACCTTGGTAGTGTCCCCTTTTCATTGCAAAACTTGTACTGTCCGCATTTTGGCCCTACAAAAATCTGCAGTGTCTGCTTTTTTCATTACAAAACCTTGTAGTGCGCTTTTTGGACCTATAAACATTTGTAGTCTCCTTTTAATTCATTAGAAAAGTTTGGACTGTCCGCTTTTTCATTACAAAACTTGGTAATGTCCGGATCCATATTTATCATTTACAAAGAAATCAATTTTGCATGACCATTGCCTTGCTTGGGAGATTGTCACAGTGACCAAAATCCCTCAGCAGCATGATTGGTACTGTCTGCTTTTTGGGACTACAAAACCACAAAACTGTATACCTGGATCTTGTAGCTCTTCTATGTGAGGATATAGTTCAATCATTCAAAGAAGTTGACTTTAGCCACATAATTCTGTCTTTGTACACTCCATAGAGTTATGGTGAAGGATTACTATGACAAAGGAATAAAATAGAAAGACAGGACATCTTACACTAAGATGTCAGAAAGACAGTCCAACCATTTGTAGCCTCAAAAAGCTGAGACTACAATGGAAAAGTGGACAGTGCAAACTTTTCTAATAAATAAAGAGGAGCCTATTCTATGGAGGGTACAAAGTTTTGTAATAAAAAAAGAGATTATCCAATTTTGGAGTCCCAAAAAGCAAACACAACCAAGTTTTGTCATGATCATAAAAAATGCAGACACTCAAATTTTACCATCCCAAAAAGCAAATACTAGATAGAAAGTCTTGTAATCAAAAAGGGGATAGTACAAAACTGTACAATGGACACTACAGTGCATGTGCGCGAGACTCAGGACGCGCGCGAGAACGTGATCATACGCGTGCGAGAACGTGATCTTACGCGCGTGATACCAACGTCACACAGGGTGACTTGGTGACGTGGTGACGTTCCTTCTTGCTTCCACCCACAACAACCACCACACCGTTAACGCTAACGGCTCCACCTCACCACATCGCCGCCATGCCAGGTCACGCAACCCCCGCAACCGCCACCACCGCACACAACCCTGGCCGCCCAAGAATGACACCAACCGCCCAATAAACCACACACAACGAACACGGGAACCGGCAAATGAATGCCAGCAAATGACACGTCCGCCTAGCAATGTCGACAACCCCAATCAATGGAAGCATCGATGGGGAAACGATGGCCACCGCCCACGAGAATCAATGACCAGCATCCCGCCACGGCCCCGAACGACCCGGCCACATCGCAGATGGATGGATGGCGAAGATGGCGACGACGACTTCTTCGTCGTCGTGTAATCGTCATCGTCCTACAGCATTTGGTAAGTCCCTCCCTCTACCTCTATTACCAGTCACAGAACTTACTAACACCCACCCACCACTTCGTTAGCACCCACAACCGTCATCGACGCACGTCGCCAAGGGCCCACTACCACACAACGGGTGGTGAGGGCCCACCCACCCTTTCACGAGCGCCCACCCCGGCCATCGACAAAGGACGACGAGTGCCCACACACCACCACCACGACGAGCGCCCACACACCAGTTCAGTTCGTGAGCGCCGCAACACCATCGATGAACGGCGACGAGCGCCCACTAACGAGCGATCTGGCACGGGGGACGACGATGATGATGAGAACGTCGTCGTCGTCATCGTTGTTTCACATTGGATATGGTAAGTACCCCCTCCCACCCAACCCCCTCCATCACTCCCTCCCCCTTCCTCACTCCATTCCCCCCTTCCTCACTCCATTCCCCCCTTCCTCACTCCCTTCCCCCCTTCCTTATTCCCTTTCCCTTTCCTCACTCCCTTCTTCCCCCCCTCACTCCCTTCTTC